TGAGTACTCTCTATAGCAACTTTTCTTATAAAATATTGGAAGATGAAATTAATTTCTGTGAAGTGGCAGAAAATACATTATAAATGAAGAAGAGGGAAAAAGGAAGCAAATGGCCTGGGGGGGTTATAAGATCAAAAGATCATATATTTAGAATTGGAAGGGATCTTTGAGGTCATCCCCCTCATTCCATAGATGAGGAAATTGAAACATAGATAAGGAAAGTGAATTATCCACTGTCACTCAGCTAACATCTGAGATCAAATTTGAACTTGGGTCTTCCTAACTCTGAGACCAGTGATCTACTGTCCCAATCCATTATGGGGATATGAGGCCAATGGTCATGGTAGGAGTGAGGAAGGACAGAAGGGAAGGAAGGGATAAAACTATTTTGGGAGGGGGGAGGGGGAATTCTCTCTGCCATGGGTGCTGTAACCTTTGATTTTCCCCCTTACAGTGCTTCAAGATACTGTGTGTCTAGTGCTCCCCACTCTGGATTCCTTAGTCTTAGGGGAGACATATCTCTCTGGCTACATGGTTGCTCAAGATCAGCTTTGTTGTTGTTGTTGAGTCATTTCAATAATGTCAGACTCTTAGTGGCCCCATTTTTTGGATTTTCTTGGCAAAGATAATGGAGCGGCTTTGCCATTTCCTTTAGCTCATTTTACAGATGAGGAAACTGAGGCAAACAGGGTTAAATGACTTGCCCACTGGCCACCCAATTATTAAGTGTCTGAGGCCAGATTTGAACTCAGGAAGATAAGTTCTCCTGACTTCAGGCCCAGTACTCTATCTACTGTACTACTTAGCTGCCCCCCCCCCCCCCACCCCCGCCCAAAGCAGCCTTGGCTGGTGACAAAGACCGGGCTGGAATATCTGATGCCAACACTGCTCTCGTACTGTGAATGCAGCTGTTTCAGGGGTCAGGCAATGCCAGTCTCAGCAAAAGATCCCTTAAGATGACTTGGCATCATCTGGCACAACAGACATCTTGGCTCTGACTTGAATTTAAAAAAACAAAACAAAACACAAAGATAAAACTGCCTTCCAGAGCAGAAAGACCTCTTGAGGGACTTGGCTTTGGTGCATTGCATGTGGTCTACCAGTTGGTGGTCTCCTGGGTAGTATGTTTCATCTGCACTCCTAATTAAAGCCCAAATTAAACCCAGTCACAACATCCACATTAAAAAAAGAAAAAGCCCTGCAGAAAAGAGTTACCATAGACTATCGCTCAAAACAGGGGCCAGGATAAGCCCTCAAATCCAAGGAGTGATCCTTTTTCTATCAGTTTTGCTATGTAAATGCCTGAGAACAAAGCCAGCTGTTCACAATCAATACTAAGGGCCTCGATGCCTTTAACCCCCTCTGCCCCCACACCCCAACACTTCTGATGATGTGAATAAGAGAAATCTAGAATGCCATCAAACATGGCTTGACTATGGAATAGTGATTTGAATCAGAACATTTTTCATTGATGAGCTGGATTTTCAGGGCAGATGAAATCTTGGTAGTGTGAAGAATGGTGTCTCAATAATATTTTTGAATTTTGTGCTTTTCTTGGAAATTAGAGTCAGCATGGTAGAATGAATAGACAGCTGGCCTTGAAGCCAGAAAGACTTAGCTGGGCTTAAGTATTATTTTTGACATATACTAAGTGACCCTGGGAAAGTAATTTAACCTCTCACAGCTCTAGGCGACTCTAAGACTCTATGTTGCAGAGATGATGCTGCCCTGCATTGGGAGAGGAGTTTCTTCATCTGGGAGTTCCTTATTTTACTCTGTCTCCTGACTTAGTACCTTTTCCCTGCTGGTCTTTCATGCCTGGAATGCTGTCTCCTCACCTCAGCCTCTTAGCCTCCTTCAAGACTCATATTTATTTCCTACCTTCTGCAAGAGGACTGACTCTGCTGCCAGCGCCTTCCCTCTGAGGTTATCTCCCACCTGATCTATATGTCTCTGGTATGTACATAGTTATTTACATGTTGTTATCTCATTGGAATGTGAGCTTCTTCAGGGCAGGTGCTATGTGTCTTTCTTTGAATCTTCAGAGTTTAGCATAGTGTCTGGCATACAGTAAACACTTAATAAATGCTTGTTTATTGGTTGACTGAAATCACAGTTTGATTTGCTATTCCAATCTTATATTTTAGAGAGCAGATAAAAACTCAGGGTAGCTAGGAGGTGCAGTGGACAGAGCACTGAGCTTGGACTTAGGAAGACTGATTTCCTGAGTTCAAATCCAGCCTCAAACACTTCCTAACTGTGCTATCCTGGGCAAGTTACTTAACCCTGTTTGCTTCAGTTTCTTCATCTGTAGGGCTAGAGAAGGAAATGGCAAACCACTCCAGTGTCTTTGCCAAAAAAACCCCCACCCAACAAATGGAGTCACAAACAGTCAGATCTGATTGAAAAGACACAACAATAATAAGAACTTAGTAGGTTGTATGGCAGAACTTTAAGAAACTATGTTCTGACATGCTTTCCATGTTACTTTTGATTGAGTCACTTATTGTGTAGCCTCAGTTTCCTCACTAACTGGTGCTTAACCTTTCAAAGGGAATGTGGAAATTAGTTAGAATAATCAGCATGGCATTAGGGCAAACTCAGAAAACCAACGTCTGCAAGAAATGTACGTCCTCCCCAACCTGAGGACGAATGAATGAAGAAAAATTCCAGAGTTTTTACTATATGCCAAGCTCTATGTGAAAGGCTGGGGATACAAATGCAAAAGGAAGATAATCTCTGCTGTCATGGTGCATTGCATGGAGATTGCATTCTAATGAGGGGAGATAGTACACAGAGGTGTGGATGCCACAGAAGGGTGTTTTAGTGTGAGAAGCTGAAGACATGATGAGTTGAACAATAGGGAAGTTGAGTGAGATGCCGTCTTCAAAGGCAATGGTCATGTTACAGTTCTCAGAGTAAGCAATGGAAAAGGAGGTAGAGATAGAGGCTGGAGAGATATACATGAGGATAAAGAAAGAGGGTAGAAAATGTCATAGGCTAAGATGTGGATACATGGTCCTAGGGAGGTCAGGACATAATGGCTTAGCTTCTCTCAGGCATGACCTTTGATGGTTTGATTCAGAAGGTGGAACAATAGCAGCATCAGTGATAGGGTAGAAAATGAGAAGGACCCCTCCCCTGATTTAGCCATTAAATGCCAAACTCCTCCTAGATCTACCTTTCCTCATGGACATTTCTGTACCCAAGGGGGCAGACTGCCCATGTATCTCTTGGCCCAGGGACCAGCATGATTCACCTATAAGCAGCCCATAGTGACATGTGCCAGTCTCAAGGCATCAGTCAAGTTCTCTGTCCTTCCACCTCCCACTCCAGATAAATTTGCCCCAAGTGCGGAATTTCCAGTTAGGACTTTGCCAGTAGAACCTTTACTAAGTATGATTTGACACATGGATTTGGTTTAAATTGTGTCTCTTGACACAGAACAATTCCATATATCCATGGCAGCATTAGGACTCAAGTTCTCTGTAGAGTTTTAACCCTTGTTTCTCCCCTACTAGCACCATCGTAGAAGATCCTGCTGTATTTATTAAACATGCTGAAGACAAAAGGTATATTGTGGCTGAATTATATTTTGATACTTTTAGTATTGCAATTCTTCAACCCCTCCCCCTCCTCACTCAGTGGAGAGCAGGCAAGCAAATCAAAGAGATCCAAAGGAAAGTGAAATACTTCTTGGTCACATGAAAGGAAAGAGGGGATGATTTTAAGGATTAAATTAATGGAGAGGATCTGAGGTTCCTGCCAATGACCAAACCATGAAAGGAAAAACGACAGCACTGAGAGCCTACCTTGGCTCTAAAGTTCCTCAGTCCACAATCTGAATAATGACTCTGGAAGACACTATGTCTTGAATAGATTTTGGAAACTGCATTGTATTTCCTTTACTCCTGATAACAGCCATGCTAGGGCTAAAACAATGGAACTGTGCTTTTCCTGGAATTAGATCATACCTATATAATAGCTCAGGGTCTAAAAAAGAACTGAAAGTGCAGAGCTCAGTGAGAGATGTCCTATTATATGCTGTCTGTTGCCTTTACTATATGTATGCAAAAAGTAAAACAGGTTTGTCCATGATACAGAGAAATTTGGTTGTGCCAAAATCATACGAGGAAATGTGATTTGTGATAGGTTGGGTCTGGAGAACGATTTCTGATTGGATACCTATACACTTCTGATTGGGTATATACACACCTTTCCAGTGGTTCTTATCCTGACATTCATGAATATTAAAAAAATGATAATGATATTTCAATACAATTGTTGTCTTTTATAATTCTATGTATTTTATTCTACACATTAACAATATTCTGAGAAGGGATCTATAGGCTTTGTCAGATTGCCAAAGGAGTGATGACCCCCAAAATGTTAAGAATGCTTGCCTTACAGCAATGCAACAGTGTGGCCATCTAGAAAGAGGCCAAACTGGAAAATAGAAATATTCTCTGAAAATCATAGAAAGTTTGACAATTCCCAACTACTCTCTCTAGAGTGGGGTAAAACATATAACTTCCAGGATGAATGCTGGATATCTCAGAACCTGATCTTTTTTGGTAAATAGGATGAGGTTAATTGCTAGTAATGCCATTTTTTTAAATAAAAAAGGACTAAAGTTTATTGAAAAACTGCTATAGACATTTGTCTTAGCTACCTATCTAGGCAGACTTACACATGTAGCATTTAATCTCCAAGAACAAAATGAAAGAATAGTACAAATCCGATGAAGACTTTAGCCTATGTACAGAGCGGAATTCGCCCCCCCCCCTTTTTTAGCTGTATTATCCCTTTTTATATAACTCATGTGTTGAGACATACTTGAATGAATGCATCATTTGGGTTGATCAGTATCCATTTATTACATTAGACTGGCTTTCAATGCTCATATTTTGGAGGTGCTTTCCCAAGTCATCTTTACCCACCCTGCTGCCACAATTTAATACAGAAGCAAGGCTAGATAGATGCATGAAAGATAGGCTTACCCTGGGGTCTGTCTCCAATTTTTGCTTATGGGGCAGACTGCGTCTTCTCTTAGTCTTGGCAAGGCCATTGTGGTAAAAGTGGTACAAGCCTCCTGTGAAGGGGAGCTGGAGAGAAGGAAGAAGCAAGGGCATGATTAACCTCTTTTTAAAACCTAATGATAGCAAAATTAAAAGCTCTTGGAACCAGTTTGATATGGATATAGGTGATCTGGGGAAACTAAAGCAGCAGTCTGTGAATTGCTTGGCTAAATGAGCATCTACCTCTTGTCCTTCTAAACCTGGGCTAAGGCCAATGTATGCACTACCTCTTAGCCACTTTCATTGTACTAATCTACGCATATACTCATCCTATCTCTCTGCATTTGCTAACACTGCTTTCCTTGTCAGAATCTCAGAATCATAGAATCTGAGATTCAAAAGGGACTTTTTCTGGTCAGCTAGTCAAATTCACAACCAAAAGGAACCCCCATTCTGACATATCCAACAAGTGATCATCTGTCTCTGCATGAAACCCTCCAAGGACAGGAAACCCTTCACCTCCTAGGGCAGCCCATCCCACTTCTGGATAGTTCTTATTTTTTATGAAGTTTTTCTGATCATACAATCTAAATTTGCCTCTTTACAATTTCCACCCATAACTTTTGCTTCTACTCTCTGGGTCCAAACAGAGAAAATCTAATACCTCCTTCATATGATGGCTCCTCCAATACCTGAAGACAGTTAAAAAGTCCCCCCCTCCCCCAAGTTTTCTTTTCTGTAGCCTCAACATGCCTTTAACTAACCCTTGTGTAAGACACTCAAGGTCCTTTATCATCCTGATTGCTCTCCTCTGGGGTGTTCCAGTTTGCCAATGCCCTTCTTAAACCATGGTACCTAGAAGTGAACATAGTACTTTATGGTCTCATGAGAACAGCCTGCAGTGGGGTTTTGTAACCTTCAAATGAAATAATATTTGGCACTATATATATATATATATATATGTATATATGCTAGCTACTATTAATATTAATATTCCTATTCTTAGAAGTCATGTCTTTCTTAATGAAGTCCATGATCATGCTAGCTTTTTTGGCTGTCACATTACACTGCTGACTCACTTTGAGCTTGCAGTCCACTAAATCTCCTTGTATCTTTTCAGAACAATTGCTATTGAACCATGACGCTCCCATCTTGTACTTAGGAAGTTGATTTTTTTTATACTCAACTACAAGACTTTAAATTTATTCCTCTTCAATTTTATCTTATTAGATTCAGTGCCATTCTCTATGCTGTCAATATCCTTTTTGATTTTGAAAGTAATTGTGATAGGACCAATATCTTTCCCTCTGCAACATGGCTTAGGAAAAGGAAGCGTAGCCAGGGCTTGTTTGGCTTGGGTATGGGGTAAGGTTCAAGCTGTGACTCCCCTGATGCAGCTTCCTTGTGGTTTCTGGTTGTATTAACATAGCTTCCTGGTCACCTAGGAGCACACAAGCTCCCATCCACATGGGATTAGGATCCCTCTAATTTAGTAAGTGCCTGAAGATCACAAGAGTTACTATACCCTTTCATATTGACCAGACATGTTTCCATATGGGGGGGTGTGTGTCTATATAATTACCAGTGAATCATTGTTTCACATCTTTTGCTGTGTCAACAGTAGGTAAACCTCCTTTTATTAACTGTTCATTGACCTATGAGTGCTCCATTTCATCCCAACATAGAACCTGAAGAGAGCACCAGCATAAAGTCTGCCCTTAATGGTTATCAATTGTGTTATTTATCCCTCCCAATTTTGTGTTGTTTGTACAATTGATGAACATACCATCTATGCTTTTATCCAAGTCATTGACAAAAACATTAAACACCATAAGGCAAAGAAAGGATTGCTGGGATATGCCTTGGGAATCCTGCCATATTGACATTAAACCATTAACAACTTTTAATCTAGCCATCCAACCAATCTGATTCCATTTTATTGGAATTATTGGTATTATTGTTTAATCCATATCTCTCCATTATCTCCAGAAGAATAATGTGAGATACTTTATTAAAAGCTCTGTTAAAATCAACATAAATTATATCCACAGCATTCTCCTAATTTACTAGCTTAGTAATCTTGTCAACAAAGGAAATGAGGTTAGTTTGGCATGACCTTTTCTTGATGAAGTCATGCTGGCTTTTTGAGATCAGTGCTTCCTTTTCTACATGTTCACTAACCTTTTTAAAAAATGAAGCATGTTAGAATTTCCCCAGGAACCAAAATTAAACTCATTGGGTTAAAATTCCCCCTTCCTTTTTTTTAAAAATTGAAACAGCATTTGCCCTTCTTTAATCTTGTGGTTCCTCTTTTTTTTCCCCCATGGTCTTTCAGTATCACGGATGGTAGCTCAAAAATCACATCTGCAATTTCTTTCAACACCTGAGTATAGAGTTCATCTTGACTAAGCGATTTGAATTCATCTAGGGAAGCTGGGAGTTTCCTTACTATCTTCTTATTTATCCTGTGTATAAACTCTCTATTAATATAGAATACCCACACTCCTTGTTCTTATCTAAAATCTACCATTCCTTCAAGCAATGTTAAAGTCATAGGATTCTATGCCTTAGAGCTAGAAGGATCTTACATGTCAGTGACACTTAAGTATCCCAGATATTCAGATTCCTAGTAGAACCATAGCTAGAATTTTTTTTGACTGGTCAGGGACAAAAACAGTTGAATTGTGTTAGAGATGGGCAGTGCCAAAGAAGAGAATCTGACATCAGGTGCAAGAAAAACAGGAGAGGTTACAAGAGATTGCTAGGAGAGGTAAACCTGAGAAAGAAACACCATGGCTATAGGATGTTAGGGCAGATGACTGCACTAAAAGGCACTCTGTGTTGGCAAAAGACCACAAGGCATATTGATTGATCTCAGATTACAGTACAAGCCAGGAGAGTGGTAACCACACTTCTCCTTGGATTGTGACACTTTGGAAGAACTGAGGTCTTGCAGACTCCCAGAACTAGCTCTGAAACAAAGCACCTGGCAGGCGTGAAAGTTTTTCTTGGATAAGAGTGTGGGAAAATGAGGCTAGAGATATCTCTTCTGCTTCCCCTGCAGCCACACACGACTATAGCTCCTTGCCACATATGGTCCCTCTCTCCATTTAGGGTGCCGTGTCCTTAAACATGGGTTCTCTGTTCTAAGGATATAATTTTTGGTTGCTCATATTTTGTAAACTTTTTTGGGGTTTAGGGGCTAGATTTTTTCTAAAAGCCGGGACAATTTACTTTTTGTCCTTTATAGTTTTCATTTATGATTTCTTGAAATATAGATCTGAAAAAACAAGCTTTAAAAAAAAATTGTTTTAAAGGAGTCCAGTGATCCTCTGGACCAGCCCATTGTGTTTCAAATGGAGATAACTGACTAATACTTTAAACCCAAATCACTTTGGCTGTCATTAAATGGTCAATTATAGCCCCCAACCCAATCCTTTATGGCTCATTGTTTAGGTTTTGATGGCCTAGAATAGGTGTAGAGAGCAATTGCTTTGTTCTGGTCAGAAACTTTGAGGGTCTTCCCCTCCCAGATTAATATTTTTGTGATAGTAAATTAGGCCATCTTTTGTCTCAATCCTTACCTTTATCATGGAATGGGCATTGCCCCAGACCAACTAGGCCTGGGAAAAACCTTCATTTAGAAAGGTCAAGGTCATCCATTGCATCACAGGCCATCCCCACTTGCCTTGCCTTTTGTCTTGCTACTAGACTTTTGATGACTCTGGAGGAGAAAGTGAGACTGACAGCTTTGGTGTTCAGTTCTGCCTCACTTAAATCCAATTTACACACAAGTCAAGACATCATCCTTGTGATGTCATTGGTCATCTTCAAGAAGAAGGATAAGCAACAGCAACAACCACCTCCTTTTATAGATGAGGATAAAGGCCCAAAGAAATGAAATGAGTTGCCCAAGATTACACAGTTAGTAGGGGAGAGGAGTGGGATTCAGATTCAAGCTCCTGACTATTCACTTTGGCCTTGACAATATACTTCCTTTAGGATCCCAATATCTTAGAGCTAGAAAGAGAGTTTGAGGTCAGGAGTGTTAGATAGTGCACTGGACTGGAAGTCAGGAGACCTGGGCTCAAACTCTCCCTCGGATACTGTGTGATCTCACATAGATTAATAAAACTCTTCTACAGAATGGAAATAATAATAATTGTATTACCTAACTCACAGTGTCATTGTGCAGATCAAATGAGCTAACATATATATACATACTATATATATATAAGTGCTTTGAAAAACTGCTATAAAAATGTTAGTTATTATTTTATTTATTCTAGTGGTTCCCAACCTATGAACTGTGTACTTACCGCAGGGGGTATGTAAATACACATGCAAATTTATGGTAGGTACTCACTAAGTAATTATTGATTGACCATTTTCACCCCACCTTATTCTCCTCCCTCTCGCCGTTATACTCTCATTAATAGATTGAGAATTGGGCACGAGTCTCACAGCTATTTAGGTCAGCTATGGCAACGAGAGGTAGCCAGTGTGATCATAAGGCACCAAAGTAATTGAAATGGGAGGGAGGTGTCTGGACTAATGAAAACATTAATCCGTTGTCAGACAATGGAAAGATAACTGGTTTGAAAGTCAGTGGGGCTTGGGTTTTCAGCCCACCTCAGCTATTATGATACTGTAGGATCGTGGACATTTCTAGGAGCTCAGCTTCAACTTATGTTAAATGACTGTTTCCAACATTTCCTTTAAGTTCTATGATTCTTTGTCTTTTCTCCTTTTCCTAAAATTTCCACATATTTCCATGTTAAAGGGAGGTATAAGAAGGAGACAAGCTCTAAGTGCATTTTCTGCCAAAGTTCAAATGGTTCTGTTCTCTTGACTAGTGATGGATAGCTGGATAGAGAAAGGATTTCAACAGCAGATAGGGAAAACTCACATTTTGCAGAAGTAATAGGATTTTTTAATAATTATTTTTTATTATTTTTAATACAAAGCAAATTAATAAGAATTACAGAAGGATAGTAACAAAATGGTCCTGTTTATTTCCTCGAATACTTGTGAACTTCAGTATCTTTAACTAAGTGGTTTTTTTTTTTGCTGTTATTGTTGTCTTT